GGGAGAGGAGGGAGAGGAGGGAGAGGAAGAAAAAACAACCTACACCCTCCCAGTTACCTATTTGGTCAAGACTTAATATACTGAAGTTAAGGCTCTAGATTTTACCTTTAGAGAAGCAGAATTGGCTTGTTCATCTACAACCCCTTTTTTCAGCACCTGGTTCTGAGCTCGAAGCTGGAAAAAAAAAGAGATACAGACAACTATGTAAGACAAAAGAAACAAAAAACACTGAGTAGGAAAAACATCTGCATGCAAGACATTTTATCTTTTCCTGAAAAGATTAGACGTGTGTGCTGTTCTAGTAAGCAGCTGTGTTAGTAAGTTTAAAAAAAAAAATTAAAGCACAAGCATATTTGTATCCTGAATTTTCAAGAAACAAGAGTTACTTTAACAAATAACCTTTCTTCCCAAACAGAAGATTCTTCTTACTCAAGAAAAAGTCTTTCAGATGAATAAGTTAAATAGATATTGCTTGAAGAACAGCGAACAGTTGCGGAAAAGTCAGAGCTTCTTGACTAATCCAGCCCTTCCACATATTCAGTCTACTTTTCTTACCCCCAAAGCTGCTCATGACCTGTTCTGGTACATGAATATAACTCATTATAATAAGTCAATCTGTACCAATTCAAGGAAGAGTTAATCATATTCTAACAGAATAAGTATGTATTACCAGTAATAGTAGATGATCCACAAAAAACAGCTTGACAAACATTACAGGAGAAAGTATAAAAAGCACACATGAAAAGCCCTTTTGTCTTACTTAGAAAGTTTAGAAGTCTGGGATAAAAACTACTGAGGTGAAAAGTGTCACTAAATAAATCTATTTTCCAGCTACTTCACGGAGTACCTCTAACTCCACAGTAATAATGCTATGGATACTGACACTTCCCTCTTCTCATTCCTTTGCAACTGCTTGAATCCTTGTTTTTCAGTGGTAGCCTGTACTCGTCTGACACGCTTGAACCGAGTTGCTGCAGATACAAACCCTTTCAAGTTGTATTGCAGCAGCCATCTGCGCCCTTCTCCATCACAGCTACTAACGCAGAACACGTCAGGCACAAGGATGAAACCGAACGAACTAGCGCGACTAAAATGTATCACTAAGATACCTGAGTCCAGTATGTTCCATCAAAAACCAGCACAAGATGAGGCAACATTTCGATTATTTCTTCCACTTAGTCTGAGTAAAAGGGTCAGAAGCTGTAACTTCAGTGGAAGAAGTAGTATTCTGGAATTCTTTTCCCTGGAGCGCTCTGTGAGGCAAGATGGAAAGGCATCCTAGGCCAGGTACTTGCTTGGCATTTTTTGAACCTATCTACTCCTTAGCTTCCACAACAGGACTAGCAAGTGGACAAAGAGCTTCCGGGAGCTACTCTCCTCTCTGCAAACGACAACAAACAGCTGGTTATTTGCAGGAAAAGGAGAACTGTCCACAAGGGAACTGGCACAATGCACTGGAACTGTCCACAAGGGACAAAGCAGGGGAGAAGCAGCTCCCCCAGAGAATCATAGAAACCCTGCAGGGAGAAAGCTGCAAGGTGAAGGTCAAAGAAAACTTTTGGACACCGTGATACTAAAGGAGACAGAATCCAGTAGCTCAGACAAGCAGAAGCTCTCGGAAGATATCTGCATTTCCAAGATCCATTCAGGAAGCACGGTCCTCAGTTGCCAGGCTATTTGTAACCTCAAAGGTACAGCAGCTCAAGTAGGAAGGGGCAACCAATACAAACTCCTTGGTGACACCATTTTTTAAAGCCGAATTGCAGACGCCTTCAGAAAGCGGGCATAGCTCAGGCTCCCTACAGGCCTTTGCAGCAGCCACCCAGAAAAGGGGGTGGGGAACTCGCTGCTCTGCAGCCCTGCGGAAGGTGCCCTATTTGTAACCTCAAAGGTACAGCAGCTCAAGTAGGAAGGGGCAACCAATACAAACTCCTTGGTGACACCATTTTTTAAAGCCGAATTGCAGACGCCTTCAGAAAGCGGGCATAGCTCAGGCTCCCTACAGGCCTTTGCAGCAGCCACCCAGAAAAGGGGGTGGGGAACTCGCTGCTCTGCAGCCCTGCGGAAGGTGCCTCGAGCCGCAC